GTCAGAAAAACGACAGAACGTTTTCGTCTGCTGACGTACGTATACAATGCATACACGTGTATGGAAAAAAAAAAAAAAAAAAAATGAGAAGATACTATTAGAAACTTCGTACGAGAATCTTTTATGATAATTACGTTAAAAATATTATCGTAATCGCAACACGTTCATATGTATTACGAAATATATGTACACACGTGCGTGTACGTACCACATATGTGTACTCATACTTTATGTTAGTAATCATCGTGTATTTTTAAAGGTCAACTTCGAAGAAAGCGCATATGCTTTTTCTCACACGATTTGTCCTTGGACTGAGAAAGAAACCTTGGTTCAATGTCCTACATTATATTCTCCCTCTGGTTTTTGAACAAAGGACATAAGACAACGAGGCTACTGACGTGGCACTCGAAATTTCCCAAATTACATGCGTACTACTTAAAAAAAGAGAAGAGTTAGAGAGAGAAGTGAGAAGAGAAGTGAAGTCAAAGAAATAAAAATGTGAAAACAAAAAATAATCTGCAGAAGGTTTAAAGATATGTCGTCTAACTCGTAATTTCGAATGTACAATTAAATCGTAAATTGAAAACATTAAAAGAAACAGATTTATTTATTTATTTATTTTTTTTTTTTTAATTTTGTTGAAATTAAACAAGATTTAATATTGCTTTTGTAACGTTGCAAATAGTGCATCGTGTTGCAATATAACATATTAGTTTAGATTAGATTATTTTATTTGTGGTACTTTTTGAAAAATTTGGTTTAAGGATCAAATATAATTAAATCGTAAATTGAAGCGTTAAAAATAACATTTTATTCATTTATTTTTTTATTGAAATTTGGCAAGTTTTTTTTTTTAATATTGCGTTTGTAACGTTGCAAAAAATTGCATAGTGTTGCAATATATACAATAAATTACGTTAGCTTAAATTATTTTATTTTAAATGTTGTTTAAGGGTTAAATACAATTAAATCGTAAACTAAACATTGACCAAAAAAAGAAAATATTTTATTTATTTTTTCATTTTATTAAAATGAAGCAAGATTTTAATATTGCGTTTGTAATGTTGCAAATATTGCAATCGTAATGCAATGTATAAACAAAATTACGTTAGTCTAGATTATCTTATTTGTAGTAATTTTGAAATGTGATTTAAGGGTTGAATATTCGACACTCGTCTGGAGGAGAGGAGTAAAGGGAGGGGTGTAAAAGAAAAAAGAAAATGAGGGAAGGGAGAGTGAATCGTGTAGTATCTTGTTGGTAGTTAAAGCTTTTAGTGTCGTTCACCTCTCTTTCGTATATCGTGACTTTACAGCATCTCGTGTTGGCCTTTGTTCTCTCTTCGGTGCTAAAAACGGCCAACCAAAGAGAACACAGTTTTTCTTCTCTCTTTCTCTTTCTCTTTCTCTTTCTCTTTCTCTTTCTCTTTCTCTTTCTCTTTCTCTTTCTCTTTCTCTTTCTCTTTATCCCTGCTGTTATCGTCAAACCGTTTATCGGCCACTTCCACGGATAACTTTTAAAGTATACTACTCCTTTTTCTTTTTCTTTTTTACGGGCTTTTATCTTTCTTTATATTCTTATTCTTACTTTTTTTTCTTTTATTTTTATTTTTTTATCGAACGAAACACTCAGATCTCGTAATAGACACGAAACTTAGTGTACGGTTATAGTTAATGTCAAATATTTGCTACTTAAATTGATTATAATTTTAATTTTATTATTATTTTTTTTTTTTAAATTCTTTGATTAATTATTTATATACATTTATTTTTTAATTCGTTTTAACGAGTATAATTTCAACGATATATCGTTGTAAAGCAATACTGTTTTATTGAAAATAAAAGATTTCAAGTACAAACACATTAAAATACATCTCCATCTTAAAGAAAGATAAAATTATTGCAAATTCGAATATACAGAGAAAAAAAAATCAAATTAATGAATTACTTGAGAAGAGATGAAGATAGATAAACGAAATAAAATGGCAGACAATTCTGTTAAACTGTTGTGTGATTATAATTAAATTAATTAAAAATAATACATAGACACAAAAAGTAAAAGAAAAAAAGGACTTTTTGTTTAACAAATCTGTAAATGAGTCGTTGATATTATTGTTCGAGTTACATACACGAGGTTACTCTTTCAGATCTCATTTAAATCATTTGCTCGTGTTAACCTCCTCAAAGTATATACATATATATATATATATATATATACAGCTCTTAATTGGAGTCTGGCCTTTCCCGAGGCTCGATTAACGATTATCACTGTGAACAGTGCACCGTTGTCGGTCGCACGCCATCTTTTTTTAACATTTTACCGACAAAAAGTATTTTAAAAGTTTTCATTTTTCTTTTTTTTCATTTCTTTTATTTTTTTTTTCTTCTCCAAGATAATAGGATTATTTCGTTCAAACAGTTAATAAAACCAACACCACCGAAACATCTTAATGAAATTTCCTTGTCAGTTAAAAAGTAAAAACAAAAAATATCTGCCATGTTAATTGCATGTATTTTGAAAAATTTCATATTTAATTATTATTATTTTTTTTTTTTTTTAATTTAATCGTGTAGAACTAATAAGAAAATTGTCAAAAATTTGACGAATGTTTATTACATTTATGTTTTTCTTTGCTTCTGTGCACAATTTGATAAAAATAATTATGTATATTCCCTAGTAGCACAAAATATTGAAAAATAATGTTATTAGTAATATAAATATTATATATATAAATATAATTATAATATTTTATAAATAAATATTATAATAATGAAAAATATATTTACGTTATTTATTCGAATAAAACAATATGTAAGTAAATATTATTAGATAAAGAGAGAGGGGGGGGGGAGAGAAGAAAGAAATAAGAAGAAAATAGAAAAAAAAGGATAAATTATTTCTTAGAAAAATTTTGTAATCCGGTTCATATCCGGTTGTTTCCTGTACCATTACCGTGTATTCTTACATTAATAGAAACTGTTAGAAATCTCTTGAGATTTATTCGTTAGAAATTTCGTAATAATTGACGTTATATGCTCTACTCCGTTTTTTTTTTTTTTTTTCAATTATTTTTTTCTCTATAAATTTCCTCATCTTCTCTTTTTATTTCTTTTCGCGTAGAATTTCATTCAGGAAAAAGGAACTAGTAAAGACATTTGTGACGTAACTATACCACCCCCCACTCACCCACCCCCCTCTTGTTTCAGAAACACGCATACTTGACTTCGATTTTTCCACTTACCATGATTTCATGATTCCGCGAATGAGTCACCATTATCATTATGTTAATCGTCATCATCATGGATCATTGGCGTTTTTTTTTATATGATCTTTTCTCAAACGTACCATATATGTTAAAGTTTGCATATTTTTTTTTTTTTTTTTTTTTTTTTAATTAAGTCAACACAAAACTCGTCTACTTGTTACGTTGTTAACGAATCGTGCCAAGGATCGAATCGATTTTTACTTACGAAATGTTCTTTTTTTTTCTTCTTCGAATATTATTTAGCTCTCCGGTTTTATTATACTGGGTTACGCGATTTCACGGTTACGGCCTACTGCGTCCGGTTTATATTTCAATTAGAGAAAGTTTCAACTCTGAGTATTTATACCCTTTTTAATTTCTTTTTTTTTTCGAATTTCAATATTCATTCAAATAATTTTAATATGCGTGTTTGCGTGTGAATTTTTATCATAATAATTTTCATATTTGTATTTGATCCTAATTGTTTCGCTTAATTTTCTTCTTCTTTTTTCTTTTTTAATGATCTTTCATGATTATTCATAATTATGTTAAATATTATGTGTATCGTAACAGGATACAAAATGAAGGAAAGAAGATTGATGCTTATTAGAGATAATGCATTTGAAGTTAATTGAAACAAATTTCTATCTTATAACATGTAGAGTACAAGTTTTTAAGATCAAACCTTATTATTATTATTATTATATAATTGACTCGTAAGTTTTATTTCAAGAATATATATATATATAAAACAATAATATATGATCTCAAAAAGATTATCAAGAATTTCAAATAAATTATAATCGACCTTTAAAATTACATTAATCGATTGAAGTCCGTAGTTAATTAAATTAATTAATCTTAATTAGATATATAAAATTAAGTAAATGTCATTGAGTCCACGATTTGATTGTTGCATTTTTATTTTCTTTTTTAAACCAAATATTTCTTATTATTTATTTTTATCTACCTATCCCCTATTTATGTTTTTTTTTATTTTTTTTATTTTTGCTTTATTTCTGTTAGAGATTCGAATGAAGTCATCCATTATCCCTCGTCTTGGTCTCCTCCCCCATTACCCCCACCATCAGAGAATTTCTTTCAACACCTTGTTCTTTTTCTCAACGAATGTATTTCTATAGCCCATCCCACCCCCCACTATTTACACACACACCCTTCTTTCCCCCTATCTTAAAGATCCTCGGAGTAATGTCAGAAACGCTAGAAAATGTGTATGTGTATGTGCGCACGCGCGCACACGAACCTTCCCACCCATCGCCATCCTCCCACCACCCCCACCACCCGTTCGATATTTGCCTGGTTGCCTGCCGCCCGTTGTCACGAAAGTCCTCTCGAGAAAGGAAAACCCGAAATAATCCGAGTATCGTCGAAGACAACCGAGAACTCGAGACCATGTGGTTGATAGCGGGATGATGACAGAACGCTGTCAGTGTCAGTTCGACTGTCGTCGTGTACGGTTAACGTTAGTTTCACGCATTTTACTTCGTATTTTATTGATAAGTTTTTTTTCATTGTTTCTTTTATTTGTTTTTACATATTAATTATTTAACTTAAGCGTGGTTCACGTATTGAATATACCGAATATCTTTTTATTTTGTGGTTTTCATAATAAACTCTTTATATTATAATTTATATTATATATTGTAATATATAATATTACATTTTATTATATATATATTTATAATCGTAATATCGTATGAAGAAACTATCGAGTGATAGAAAAAGGTAATTCAAGTTTCTGCATTTTTTTAATTTTTTGTTTGTTTTCATTTGGGTTCGTTCTTAATAAAATTATTATTATGATTAGTTCGACGAAATTTTGTGTGATAGTTTTTTGTTTTTGAAGAAGTACAGCATTAGTAGGAGGAGGAAGAGGAAGAGGTGAAGGAGAAGAAAGAAGGGTGGATCATTTTTTTTTTGTCTAAATCAGTTCGTAGCCGTACGAGATTAGAAAATTCGTTCAAGGTTACGAATCATCGTTCAACAAATACTACGCTTTGCTTCTTTTAACCGATACGAGGTCAACGTGAAACTTACTACCACTTTGCTGTGCATTTTTCTGTCTGTCTGTCTGTCTGTCCGTTTGTCTGTACGGTTGTTTATCTCTTGTCTGTCTCTCCCTCTCTCTTTCTCTCTTCCTCACACACACGTACACACACCCAACGTATGTACACGAACGCAAGAGCATAAACAACGTTTTACTCTTTCGAGGTGAGTTGGTTTATACTTCAAAAACATTTCCATTTTTGGAATTGAAACTTTTCGTTAATACGAATGAAATAAAAAATAAAAAAAAAAAGACAAACTCAAAAGCAATACTAATAGCATTTCACTTGAATTGATTTTTTTTTTCTTTTAAATATTCCATTAATATGTCCAATCAAATGATTACCTTTTTTTTTTTTAATCTTTTTTATTTTATTTCAACCTATACTTGTCCACTTTTGCTTTTTTTTATTTATTATTATTATTTTTTTGTTTTTGTTCTTAAAAAGTTGGTCTTTCGACGAAGGCGCAACAACAACGACACCTTTTTCCTCGACCTGGTTTTCCCATACCGCATATATCAAGAAAACGATGATTAGATGCGATATTTGATTAGTATGACGTGCAACTGGCTAGCTCGCATATCTAAACAAAACAAAGAAAAACACGTTATGTTTTTGTGTTTGTCTTCCTTCTTGTGTGTTGTATATAATAAAAATGTTGCGTGTTGAGTTTCGTTTGAAATGTATTTTCGTTCACAAATTTTATCGCGTATTCTACGAATTTGCGGTTGTCCCCTTACCCCACCTCCCCCTCCCCATATCACCCACACTCCACTACTTTTCGATTCATGTCCTCCCCCATCTTATTCCCCTTCCCCTCAATACTCGACTTTTATCCACCCAACCTCCCCTCCCTGTCCTCAGTTCGTGCAAGTTCCAAGCGTACGAAGAAAAAGGGTTGTTTATCATGTTTATTGGATTGCATAGCATATTTATTGTTACACTTAACTTAATATCTTTCTCTCTCTTTTTCTCTTATTTATTCTCGTAAATTTGTCTTTTACGATCTTTTCGTAGAAAAAATTTTATGTTGGGGAGAAGATGTTGGGACAAATTGGTTATGACGATTTAAATAGGGTAGTTTCGACTTAGAACAACATTTAAAGAGAACAACAAACTATATATATATAGTTTTACATATATATGTATATATAAATCTAATTAAGCACATAATTTAAATATATTTAATATAATAAATAATAAATTAATTAATAAATATAATAAATATATATAATTATAATTATAATTATTAAATAATATATAAATAAATATTATAAATATATATAATTATAATTAATAAATAATAAGTACATAAATATATATATATAAAACTACTATACATATATTTATCGAGAAATTTAATTGATGGGTTAGTAGGGAAGGTAGAAGGAAGTTAGGGTCGGTGGTGGTGGTAGTGGTAGTAATTTATACTTTATGTGTGGAGGAGACACAAAGTTACGTTATCATCTTGTTTACGTTCTTTGTTTTCACCTCGGTTAGAAAATAAGATTAAAAAAATATATAACTTTTTCGTTCATTCGGTTTCTTTATCCATTTATCTATGCGTGTGTGCGTTTTCAGTATTGAACACATTTATGGAAAATAGTTGGAATGGTATCGTTTATGGTTCGTTGTGGTGGACTTATTCTTGAAGAAAAAGAAATAGTAATAGTAGTAAAAGAAGAAGAAGAAGAAGTAAATTAGTTATGATTATTTGTGTTTAATGTGTTTAATATGGATGTGTGTGTGAGTAAATGGGTATGTGTATTGGGTGTGTGAGTGGGAGTGAGCAAGAGAGAGGGAAAGATAGAGATAGACTCCTTTGTTATCCAAGGCTACGCTTATTGTCTGCGTACTCGGCCATAACTTATTTTTTTTTCTTCTTTCCAACACGCGATAGTATTTTTCGCACGAGGGAACGTAATCGAGCCATTTGTCGCATAACGAACATTATTTCCTTTTTTTTTGTAAAAGTGTAGAGTGTGTATGAGAAAAATAGGATATATGTGGGCTCTCGTTTTATCCCCTGAAATTTCCTATCACATAAAAGGTTTTTGTTTTTTTTTTTTTTTTTTTTTTTTCAATTAAAATAATCTACTATTTGTCTACGTTGTTTTTGGTCACAACGCACGTTCAATCTACGAAATTGCTAGTCAATGATATTTCTTTTTTGGTCAGTGAAAATATGAATTAAAAATTTATTTAATTGATTAAAAAGTTCTACGGTGTATTTTATCAATGATAAATTTGATGAAATAAAATGTATGAAAAATTTAACGAGTCTTCGTAAAAATTCATCAATGCACGTGTATTTACGAATAAAACGAAATTACGAGTCAATGATTTGCCAAGTATCATCACTGTACGATCGTTGATTCATTTTTCTCGTAGACTCGTAAAGAAAAATCATTGATTAAACACATCGTAGACACAATTAAAATTTAATACAATATTTCGATTACATATTCGAATTATTGATTGATTATACCATAAACTCTTTTATTATTTAATTACATTTTTCAGTCATTTGTAAAACTTGTCAAATTTATCGTTGATTAATTTTTTCGTAGACTCTTTAAAAAAATTTTTGTTATTTCGTTACCATTATTTTTAATATGGTAACATAAATTTTAAACGGTAAATTAAATTAAATTTAAATATATATATAACAAATAAAATATAATAAAAATTATTATATAATAATAATAATAATAATAATAATAATAATAATAATAATAATAATAAAGAATAAAGAATAAAAAATAGTAAAATAGATTCGTACAACTAAAAGAAAAAAAAAGCAATTATATTATTAGTATCATTACAAAAGTTAAAATTAACCGATAAAGAATTTTGTCTAACTCTACCTACCACTAACTCAACCACCACCAGTACCATCAATACCAACACCACCCACTTACAGTGTTGACGAGTTTACGAACACAAACTGACAGAAAACTACTTTTTCACATGCTTTGGAAATAGACTAGCGAGATAAAAATACATACTCCTACCGTAGAAATATAGATCGAACGATCTAATTTCGTCGCGTGATTATATGCAAGAAAATATTTCTATGCAGGGTGGGTGAATAAACACATACACATGTACACACACATAGATACATACATACATACATACATAAATATATTTTTTTTTATTTGTTATATTAGGGTGAACCTAAAGTTCGTACGATTTATTTATTGGGTTGGCAATTAGATCATTGCTGATTTTAAAAGGCCACTTATTGACAAAATCCACAATCATTTACTTGCCCCAACCTAATATTATTTATTAATTTATTTTTTATTATTTATTAATTCTTTTTAAATAATATGATATATAATACAATAATATTTAATAATAATATAATAATACAATAATACAATAATATATAATAATATTATAATATAATAATATAATAATACA